ATAGATAATCTTTTGCTTAGTGTGATATTCGTTAGTATGGGTTCCACCGTCTGGTTAGGGTACTTTGATCTCATTTGACCGGAGCTTGGATCGAAGTAGTAAGTTTATAGATTAAGCGAGGTGCTTAAGCTATATCTTACCTATGGATACAACTTGATCCCTGGATAGATTGTGGTAGTTGGTAGGTGGTAACAACCCTATCCATCCTCTGTATTCCACCACATTGGGTCTAGTTATTAAAACGTAGGGACTCGTTGTGCTTTGTGCCTAATCAACTTTTGGGTGAGTTTAGGGCAGGTACTCCCCGTAGTGCTAAAGATTTCTCTCTAATCCTTAGTTTACCTTTAATTTGTTGCTTAAGATAAATAGTTTGCTCGCTCTCTCCACTTAGCTTTGCCATACTTCTAGTTTGCTTGCTATCTACCCCTTTATCTTACCTACATTCCATCCCACCTATCCATCTACACCTCTACCCACATTCCAACACCCCCTTTTGGCTAAGGACATGGCTTCACTTGAGCATTTCTTTCCACCAAACCACCTTATCCTTCCGCCTTCCCATGGGATAAATTATAAATTCGACACTCGGTTTACTCACCCAGCGAATTGCTACACGATAGTTCTATGTGCTTGCGGAATCCCTCCAATAGACATAAGAAGTATCAACAGTGCTAACTCGGTCCATGACATATATGATTTATGTTACTTAGTTCAGTGGCTAAAAATTCTTTGCCTCATTCTAGTCACCGACGGTAGGAGCTCATGGCGACAAATTTGCACTAGATGGCACATTGTAGTGTACCAAAAATTGAGTGGCTAGGATCTACAGAAGGAGTGTACGTCGAATCCATCTAAAGGGGTCTTGATGAGAGAACTAGGATGGTGGCGGCTGGCCCTGGATTGCAGAGAAGATGGATGTTCAATGTAGCAAAAACAAGAGCTAGAGAGGGTGGGGAAAAACAAGACGGGTCTTAGGAAATAGATCGCCTCGATATGGACTCAGTTGTGTGGCTCTCAAGGATGTGGACGTAGTAGATGGGGAGACCAATGGTGGCGTGTGTATGAGATCTAGCCTAGGGCTATGACTACATCTAGGGCATGGGACATCTCTTTCCTTGATACAAAAAAGAGGACATGGGAGTAGTGGCTTGCCTTTAATAGGCCATGGCACTGGAATCAATTGTCTCAGTGTAGGTACGGATCCGACTCAACTAGGTAGCACTATATATGGATTCAATCTTGAGTTTGGCTCATGCTAGTGGTGCAATTTAGAAGAGGATAAGGCTGTCTTGCGGCCCCATCATAAAGAAAAAAAGGAGAAGGCACAGGCGCCTGGTACACCATTGTTAGGCTACAACGACTCAGAGCCTAGGCTAGTCCACAAGAGAAATAGGTGGTGGGTTAAAAATGGCCAAAGCATAAGAAACACAAAGGAAAAAGCCTTTCTTCTTTTGACAGAAAATTATATAGATTCACTAAAACAATTCTAATGTAGAGCTAAATCTTACAAAGCAACCTAAAATTAGAAGTGTAGTAGCATTAGTGTAAGATAGCATGAGTGCACAGAACAATGTTTTATAATTTATATTGCTTTAGAAAATAAATATTTCATCTTAAACAAAGTATGAAGCTCTCTATAGAAAATTGAAGGCATATTGACTAAACTGCAAAAACTTAAATTTAGGGTGTTAAACTGCGCCCATAACCAACATACGACCATAGGACTCTGATACCATTTATAACACCTTAGAATCCAAATAATTCAGATCCACTCACATATTGAGTGGACAACACACTCCTTACGATTCCATCCTTCGTTTCATTCAAAAGAGTTATCGTAGGGTTAGTGATGTTGATTCTAGAAGTATTACGAGTCATATTGGTTGCATGTATAGTTTGCTCGTGTTTGATTGTCTGCATAGGCTCTTATGCAGGCTTGCACAAATGCTCAAAGTAGGCTCAATGTTGCATTAGCTAGTATATTAGATTTGGTGTATTAGACATTGTAGTTTGCACAAATCGATGAGCACACAAAAATGAAATATTATCATCCCCTATACCTCTACTAGAAACATGAGACTTCAACTAGAACATGGAGGTTATATGTAACAAGATATAAACATCGAAACACAATTTTATGAAATACGGCTTGCATGTGCAAAACAACCAAACACCAAAACATTGCATACGTTTACGCTAGCATAGGTTATGTTGCATAACGTCTAATGCGGACTAAGGCTAATGCAATCAACCAATTAGACCTTATATGTTAGCGTAAGTTATCATAGAGTATCAAGTTGGCACTAAATCTCCACCACAACCACACACCGCACATTGAGGGGCCACCCTAGACCTAATTCCAATTGGACTAGGATGTGACAATATTAGCAAGAACAAGGTGATTGCGAACTTTGCTCCCAATGGTAAGATCCACAAATGTAACTCCCTTAGCACCAATAGGTTCACCTCTAAGTGTTATGTTGGTCTTTTATAAGCTCATCATCCAATTTAGTCAACTTTTTAAAGATGGAATAGGTCATCAAATTCAAAATTGTCCCATCATCAACAAGCATTGAACGAATCAGTGTCACATTGAAAACATTTAGGTCTCTATTTGGGTTTTGATAATTAATGACAACACTTGTGGACTAACATTTCAAGTGAGATATGAAAAAATAAGATGTTAGTTCACATTGAGCCATTGAGCAACATGGATGTTATGGTGAAGATGGCAGGAAACATATCGATAAGACTCAAGACAAAGGTATAAGATAAGGGTTTAAATTTTGCCAGTCGTAAGGTGATACAGGATGTTAAATGACCGAGTTCTTAGGCTATATAACCATAGTATCAAGAGGGTCAAATGTGTTTTGCATTTTAGTGATCTAGTGCCATTTGTGAGGTCTAACAAATGCAATGCATTAAAAATTGTGTGATGGTTTGAAAAGCAAGGTTAAAATGGTTTGAAGAGTAAGAGAAAACCTTTGAAAAATATACTTTGGAAAATGCTAGCTGAGCGTAAACATGTTAATATAACATTTCCATCAACCAATTTCTCCATTCATACACTTTCTTCTCATTATTCATATCAAAGGTGAATTTAAAACTACATGCATGCACAATCACTATATGTTACTAGCAGTATATGTTTTGCCATTCAGTATGACCATCATGGTCAGAGCTTCTTCAACCTGATTTGAGCACCATGCTGAGGGTGCAAAGTTATCACGGTGTATGGCGCATGAGTGTAGGATGGCGAGAGCTCAAAGGAGAAGTGTTGAAGGATGGTGCACAGTGCCATCTTCGCCTCCAGCAACGCAAAGTTCTGGCCTATGCAGATCCTGGGACCCCATCCAAATGGAAAGAAGGCGGCCTGATGCTTGGTCGCATTGGAGATGCCATCCTCAAACCTCTGTGGATTGAACTCGCTTGGGTCTTTTCCCCAGATGTTTGGATCATGGTGAATGAAGATGATGGGCAGTAGAAGGCTCACTCCTGAAGGATATTTGATGCCACAAAGCACCATTTCCTTTTAAGTTCTTCTGGTTAGTAAGACTACTGGTGGGTACAACCTAAGGACCTCATATAGAATCATGGTTACCTGCAGAACCAAAACAGAGGTTCAAGATCATTAATCCTGATACACAATAGAAAAAATATTAGATATCATGTTTTTTCCTCAGAAAAGTTTTTGTTTCACAGTTATTGGGGGGGTTCTCATGCATATAAACAGTCAGACTTCCTGGAGCATTCTAGAACTGCAATTTCCAAAAAGAATGCAAGATGTAAATAATAAGGTTCCTTCGACACCAAGTTTAGGTCATCTCCAGCATACTTCTACAGTATATTCAGTGAGTCATTCAAGACATTGGTGTTAACATTGTTGGAATGTAAGGCTGCACAGTTCTAGAAGCAAACCAGCAGTTTCTCCACCAGAATGACATGCAGACAACTATCAGCAGAATTCAATTGTCTGGAAATTAAAATCACAAAAAGTAGCTATTTTTAGATGAATTGTTCAGTATTTTGTCAATCTAATTCTGATAAAGTAATGGAAACTTAAATAGGGGCATTTGCAATTTTGTCACTGGTTTTATTGTTATTTATTGCACGAATGCCACTCAAATGACAGTGTTAGTGGTATTTATGCAATTTTCTGTTGGCAAGCTTGTAACAGTGTTCAAAGTGGTGGCAAAGTTGCAATTGCTCCAAATTAACAATGTCTTCAATATCTATCAATTTCTGCATTTCATTGAACAAAAGAACAATGATTTCATACTTACAATCTTCAGCCGGTTCAAGCTATCAAAATCTGGTCTACCTCTTCCAAAGTGGTTTAAAACTTCTTCTCTTGCCTGATCTTGCCATTCGGGGTGCATGCTTAGCACAATTAACGTCCATGTAAGCAGGACTGATGTGGTCTTCATACCTGCAAAGTAAAATAACTTGCATTCCTCGATCATCTTCAGTACTCATTCCCAGTTTCGCATTCCCAATTGATTCTCTCATATTTGACTCAACCAATAAGCCTAGCAAGTCATCATTACTGCCTTCACCATCTATAAAAGCCCTCTCTTTTTCCTGATTATTCCATGCAGAATTTTACGGATCTCCTGATCAATTTCTTTCATCCTTCTGTTATTTTTGGTGGGCAAAAACCTGCATATGTTCAACAGTGTTATAACAGAACAGATTCTTGATTCCTACTGCAGAACTTCCCTAGTCTTTATTCCCCTACTCAGCTTGGACAATGGAAGTAGAAGTAAAATATAGATTGTGTTCAAATGTGTTCAAAATATTCTTGGATGCGGAGAAATCTTTTCTGTGTCTCTTCCTTTACTAGAAATGATATCAAGTCATTACCTTAAAACATGGATAAGTAAATATTCGTACGCAGTGAGTGTCATGAACAAATTGCTGCTGTTTATAAGGAAAAGAACAAACCAGTAGCCTGGGATAAATATTGTTTGAAAAGATTGTATAAGGCGTTCAGCCTGCTCTCATTGCAGCCGGAAAATGTTCTTGCCCTCCTGATAGTTGCTACCAAATGCGGTCCTTGAGATAACATCTCCAGTAAGATTTTGGAACTCAGGCCAGACGTCTATCTCAGAAGATCCCTCGGAAGACATTGAATTTTCCCATCTGTTAATCATATCGGTGCAACAGGTAGCAAATACAGGCAGCATCCGCTGTGAATGAAAAAAACAATGTTAGTTCACTTAGGGTGTTCACTATCCAATATGATATACCAAAATTTGAACAAAGAAAAATATATCTATGGGAACAAATTTAGTGAACAATGACCTTTATTTTCTCATGGTGGAATGCAGGCTTGAGAATTCTCCTGTGTTTTGCCCATTTCTCGCCTTCATGATTTGCGAGCCCGTTGGCTAGTAACTTGCCAAGACGGCTAAACAGTGGTTTGCCGAAGTGGCCAAACTTGTTAGACAAAACCTCTCTCATTAATTCTGGGTCTGGAATTATCACCCTCGGAGTCGGGCCAAACCAAGTAAATGAATTTGTCCCTGCATTTGAGTTTAGAACCCTGTAAGGACTGTAGGAGGACTAGCAAACTGCAACCAAACCATTTTGTGAGGATTTTGGCAGTCACAAAACATGATTCAGAACTGGGAAAATAAACTGACTGTCACAGGATATCTAGTTCAATATTTTGACACGTGCAATCAAAATCTATGATCTGATTTCATACTTGGTCATGTCCATTACACGCACATAAAGACCCCATTAGTGCATATCGGCATGTTTTCTTTCTGAACATACTGCACGCTAGCAATAGAAATAACTGCAGTCATTGCATCAAGCTATTCTATCTTAAGCGGCCGAGCGGGGGATGTGACTGGATAATTGTGTCAACTATTTCATCCATCAGCGTACAATCAAGATACTTGTTGCATGTGAGTGGATAATTGTAGTGTTAAGCCTATAAAAGGTACCCAAGCTAATCTCGAACCAAACGTTCCGAACTTCTGATTCAACTCCAGTATATTCGTATCCCATGTCCTTCTTGGGCGTTCACGGAGTAAATATGATAAAAATCGCAGGAAATGAGCTAAAAAAATTAAAAAAATCGCAACAAATGATTTCCCCTCAATAACTGGGAACAAAAGGAATCAATTTTAGATGTGGGGAATGATCTGGCCATCTGGGCACATAGAAATTACCATTATCCTTTACCATGTTGTGGAGCATGGGTAGCACGCGGGGGATGATCCCGGTTTATTTGGCTTATCAGCCGTACTTTTTTAAGTCAATTAATAGTATTTTTTTTCTCATAACAAATCAGCTAACGGTATTTTTAGCCATAGCTTATCAGGCACAGGCAAGATGTCGTGACTCCCAAGCGGCAGCGGCTTCATGCGGGCTTCTCGGTTGAGCCGGGCGTTCTCCCTCACGTCGCCGGTGAGGAGGCGGTACCTGGTGCCCTTGAGGCCCTGGGCCCTCGGTCTAGCCGCCGTGGCGTCCACCACGCCCACTCCAGCGTCCAGGCCACCAGCCACAGCAGCACCACGGGCGCCACGGCCGCCGTCGCCGCGCCTGCACGGGCCCACGGAGAAGCCTCCCACAGCAGGAGCAGAGCTCGAGTCGCCATTGGCTATTTGGCTTTGGCTTCTTGGTGCACCTGGTGAACGGCAAGCAAGCAAGTTGTTACGCTCAAAATATAGGATCAACGGAATGTCATGGAACTAGTTCAATGCCAGCAACTCGCCAGAGTTCGCCGTCGCCACTGGCGAGGTTCACAATGGAAGCCAAGTTCGAGTTCTCCCTGTTCTCACAGACGTAGTAAGGAGCCACCCCAGGCTGCCTCACGCATGGCCCGCGCATGGTCCCTTCCATATTACCGCTCGAGCGGAAGTCTACTTTTTCTTTTTCTGCCTGAACTCTAAAACTGGTAAATCATATCCTGAACTTTTAAAACCGTTCATTATACCTCCTCAACCGGTTATAAGCGGTTTTCAAATTTCTTTTTTATTTATTTTGGCTAAATATTTAAAAAATCATAGTAAATCATAGAAAAATTATAAAATGGAAAATTCAATTTTGTTAGACTTTACATAAGTAGATCTACACAATGAACATATAATATAGTATATTTTAGTACAATTTTTTTTAGTAGCTTTAGATTTATGTTTTTCTGTAATTAATTCATAACTGCATTTTCTATGGTCTAATTATGGTAAAAATTTTATGGTGGTCTAATTATTGTATGCTTGAACTATATTAAAAATTTCATACTCATTGGATCATATATAACTTAGTTATAGATTTATTTAGGTGTATGCTTGTTAAAATATATTTATAAATCTATCACTAAGTTATACATGATCTAATGAGTATGAAATTTTAATTACAGTTGAAGCATATAATAATTAGTCCACCATAAAAATTTCACCACAATTAGACCATAAAAACTACAGTTATGAATTAATTACATAAAAGTATAGATTTAAAGCTAAAACAAAAATTTGTACTAAGGTATATGACATTATATGTTTATTGTGTAGATCTACTCATGTGGAGTCCATAAACATTGGATTTTCTATTTTATAATTTTTCTATGATTTATTATGATTTTTCAAAGATTGAACCGAAATAAATAAAAAGGAAAAAGATAAAACCGCCTTTGAAAACTGCTCATAACTAGTCAGGGAGGTAAAACAAACGGTTTTAAAAGTTCATGAAGATGGTTTACGTGAATTTTAGAGTTCAAAGAGGAAAAATAGACTTTTATAAAACTTGAGGGAGATGATGTAGACTTTTCCTTCTCAGTTAATCCATTCCGGCACAAGACCTCTAGGATTGGGCTTCTTCTGTCGCAGCAGCCCGGTCTTCCTTCCTGTTCAGAACTTAAGAGTCCGTTTAGTTGGGCCTTTAGGGCTGCTTTTATTTTCGAAAAGCTAAAAGCCCAACTAAAAAGTGCTGTTTTTGGAGGCAGCTGCTTTTTTATATTACATTAGTTATGTGCCCATGCGCTGGACGGGGTCCACAAATTTTTGTTCACGTCTGCTGCGAAAGATTTGATCATTTTTAGAAAATAATTAAAACCATTAAACGATTTTGCATTTGTTCCAGGTCAAGGACGGCCATGACATTGAGCCTCTCTTCAGGTCCGCACATGAAGATTTTTATTTCTAACTTTGGAGTAGACTGTCTATGGGTTATGCATGCCCTTAGGCTTTTCAGAATTTATATTTCACACGTAATGATACGGTTACAGTCAAAAGGAACTTAAGGGTCTGTTTGGATGTAGATATTCGACGACTGGAATTGAATTGAGTGCCAACACCAAATCGGACTGGCTTTAGAAATGGACTGCAATACCAAAACACATGTTTAGATGTCGATGGAATTGCAATTAGGAATCTAGTGACATGGCAAATACCAAATCATGTTTGGACATTCCTTCTGTGAAATTGGAAATCGGCAGTGCTGGTGATGGGGTTGGGCACGGCACCAATGGGATCGCGCGTCCTCGCTCGCCCGCCGCCTCATCCGAGCTCGCACCGCCGCCGAACTCATCCGAGCTCGCACCGTCGCCGGCCTCGTCCAAGCTCACGTCACCACCGGTCTCGTCCGGGCTCGCGCCGTCGCCGGTCTCGTCCGAGCTTGCGCCGCCGCTGGTTTCATCTTGGCTCGTGGCCTTGTCCGAGCTCGCGCCGTCGCCTGCCCACCCGCCCGCCTCGCATGAGCGCGAGCGACTCATCACGCGAGGAAGCCCACGCGCCCGCCCGCCTTGTCTGAGCTCGCGCCGTCGCCCAGATGCGAGGAAGATGTGACGTGGAAGTCGTCGTTGGATCGAGTTGTGCCCGCCATGGAGGGGCTCGGGCTCGGTAGCGCCGACGACGTGGTCAGGTGTGGCCTCGACGGTGAGGAGGTGAGCTCGCGGCCATCCGCCCGCCTCGTGCAAGCTCGCGGCGCTGCTCAGCCTCCTGGCTTGGACAAGAGGAAGAAGCAGAGGGGCGCCGATCGTGAGGAAGATGAGAGGAAAGCGCCAGTGCGAGGAAGAAGAAGAGGAGGACGAATGCCTTGCTTTTCTCCGGCGGACACCAATTCCCCCATACAGAGGGTCACGGCTTTGTATTGAGGGTGAGGGGGTGCATGTGTGCGAATACCCCTTTGGCATTGGAGTTGATTTCCAATTCTAAATCTAAAGCCATCCAAACAGCGACATTTGATGTTATTCAATGCCAATGCCAATTAATGAGGCTCAATATGTACATCCAAACCCTACCTAATAAAATTTGAAGTATAATTTTTGGATTTGATTTTGATTTTACAAGTTTCAGTCAATTTGTGCATTATTTGGGAAAAGACGAGAAGCTAACAAAATATTTTGTACTGGAACCCTAAAGTCTATGTGAATCTTGAGATCAACTTTTACTAATCATTTTCTGTTTATATTTCTTTGCTTTTTCACCTGGAACCCTCCACCTTTTTGGTATTTGTGCTGTCAGCCCCAAATTGTTGAACGCTGAATTAGATAATGAATGAACTTACGTACTCTCGGAATGGCCGGTAGTCGCCGCCGCTGTGGCTCTGGACGGTCGCGTTGCTCTCGCCCACTGCCTCCAATCCCTCCATGGCCGTGGCGTGCGGCACGATGGCATCCTGCGCGAACTTGCCCACGCTCTCCTTGAACTGGCTGCGGGCGGAGGCAAGGGAGCACGAGCGATGGAGGGAGGGAGCGGGTGGGCAAGGAATTAGATCCATCAGGCAAGGGGCAATGGCGGCAGGCGGGCCGCCCGAGAGAGCGAGCGAGAGTACGCATCTGCTCCTGCGTGTTGTCGAAGAGGAGGGAGGACGAGGCCAAGAGCCGCGGCGCTGGACGTGCGATTTCCGTTCGGGTTTTTTCTATTGCATCGAGCGCGCGCGGACGGTTTTTTTTCGCGGACGGTCGATGCTATTCCGTTCGGATACGACACAGGAATCTTCGGATACGACACAGGAATCCGATCAGGGGCCTGGCGTTTGGCGTGGGGTCACATCAAATTTGTGGACATGCATGGAGTACTAAATGTTGGAGGAATTGCTTTGGGGGCGCGCGTACCTAATTAGTCAACGACAAGTTTTTTTTTTTGACGAAAGCGAACTCGGTACTTTTTTTTTTTTACGAAAGCGATCGGTACTTTTTAAGTGGTAGCAGATTTTTGAAAGCACCTTTAGCTTGCTA